AAAAAAAAAAAAAAAAAAAGAAATTACACAGATCAATGCAAAATTCCATCTGGATGGCATCTGACAGAACAGCTGGTCTGTTTTTCTTCAGTAATTCAATAGTGTTAGGAAGTGGGGACTAGAGAGATTATTCTAGATTAAAAGAGTCTCGGGAGGCTGAGTGTGGTGGCTGACGGCTGTAATCCTAGCACTTGAGGAGGCTGAGGTGAGAGAACTATATGAGACCAGGAGTTTGAGACCAGCCTGGGCAACATAGCAGGACCTCATCGACACAAAAAATAAAAAAAATTGGATGGGCATGGTGGTGTGTGCACCTGTAGTTCCAGCTACTCGGGAGACTGAGGCGGAAGGATTGCCCGAGTCCAGGAGACTGAGGCTGCGGTGAACTGGTATTGTGCCATGCACTCCAGTCTGGGTGACAGAGTTAGACCTCGACTTAAAAAAAAAAAGTTTCAGGAGACAAAACAACCAAATGTAAAGCAGGAAGAGATTTTACTTGTTTCCTGGTTGAGTTGAGCCAACTCTAAAAATGTTTGGAGATGAGTTCCCAATCAGGAACTACTGTTAATTGTATTAGATGTGATAATGGTATTGTGGTTATGTAATAAAATGGCCTCGGCTGGGCACAGTGGCTCACACCTATAATTCCAGCACTTTGAGAGGCAGAGGTAAGAGGATTGACTGAGCACAAGGGTTCACGACCAGTCTGGGCAACTTGTCGAGACTTTGTCTCTGCAATAAGTCAAAAAATTAACCGGGTGTTGTAGCATGCACCTGTAATTCCAGATACTTGAAAGGCTGAGGCGGAAAGATCGCCTGAGCCCAATGGGTTGAGGCTGTGGTGGCCAGGAGTGTGCTATAGCAATTCAGCCTGAGCAACAGAGTGAGGCTCCAACTCAAAAAAAAAGAAAGAAATAAAAGAAAATGACCTCATTGTTTAAAGATAATTATTCAAATATTTATGAGTGAAATGTCATGGTAACTTTAGAAGAATAAATAAATATCAATTTAGAAAAATATTCCATCAACAAAAAGCAAATATGACATGTTATTACTATTAAATCTAGGTGGTACATATACAGGAGTTAATTATTCTAGTCTTTCTGTTTCTCTGTGTGTTTGAAATCTTTCCTAGTAATAAAGTTTTTAAATTGTCATCAGCAGGGTGAGGTGGTACATGCCTGTAATCCCAGTTACTCAGGAGCCTGAGGTGGGAGGACTGCTTGAGCCCAGGAGTTTGAGCCCAGCCTGGGTAACATAGACATTGTCTCAAAAAACAAAACAGTAAAAAAAAAAAAAGTCGTTATTGTTTTAAGTAATCCTATACTCGTTGCTTTTCTTTCCTTTCTATATATTTAACTGTGATAAAATTCATACAACATAAAATGAACCCTTAACCATTTTATTTATTTTTTATTTTTCTGAGTTGGAGTCTCACTCCATCGCCAAGGCTGGAGCGCAGTGGCAGGCTCACAGCCACTTCAGCGTTGACCTGCTGGGTTCTGGCGATCCTTCCACCTCAGCTTTCCAAGTAGCCAGAACTACAGGAACACACTACCACGCCCGGCTAATTTTTTTATTTATTGTAGAGATGAGGTCTCACCAAGTTGTCCAGGTTGAACCTGTGGGCTCAGGTAATCCCCTCACCTTGGCCTCCCAAAGTGCTGGGATTTCAGGTTTGAGGCACCGTGTCCGGTTCATGAACCATTTTAAAGTGAACAATTCAGTGGCATTTGGTAAATTCACAAGGTATAGAACTATCCGCTCTTCTAGTTCTAAGACACTGACATCACCCCAAAAGGAAGCCTGGGCCCATTAAGCAGTCACTCTCCATCCTTCCTTCTCAGCCTCTGGCAACTATTCATTGACTTTCTGTCTCTATGGATTTGCCTTTTCTGGACGTTTCATAAGTGGAATTGAACAGGATGTGAACTTCTGTGTCTGACTGTTCTCTCTTAGCATAATGTCTTCGAGGCTCATTCATGTTCTCAGAGCTTCATTCCCTAAACCTAAGAAAAATGAAAACCTATGTCTGCACAAGAACTTGTATATGAATGTTTATAGCAGCACTGCTCACAATAGTCAAAGGGAGGAAACAGTCCAAGTGGCCATCAACAGAGGAATTAATAAAATGTGGTCTATCAAATGATGGAGTGTTATCTGGTCGTAATAGTCCATTCTATAATATGCAGTATGAATGAAGCACTGATTTGTGCTACAGCATTGAAAAGCTTGAAAACATGATGCCAAGTGAATGAAGCCAGACACAAAAGACCACATATTGTGATTCCGTTTATATGAAATGTCCCCACAATAGGCAAATCCATAGAGACAGAAAGTAGGTTAGTGGTTGCCAGGAGCTGGGGGCGGGGGGCTGGGAGGAAGTGGGAATGACAGGGAACGGGCACAGGGCTCCTTTGGGAGTGATGCAAATGTTCCAAAGTTGGTTGTGATGGTTTCGCACGCTGCGAACATACTAAAAGCCACTGGCTTGCCCACTTTACATACAGACCCTCATAAGTATGTGTCGAGTGTGTAAATGTCAGACGCATGAGGACCATTGAAAGAAAGAAAAGAAAATGACCTCATCGTTTAAAGATAATTACTCAAATATTTAAGAGTGAAATGTCATGATTTCTGTAACTTTAGAAGAATAAATAAACGTCAATTTAGAAAAATACTCCATCAACAAAAAGCAAATATGACATGTTATTACTATTAAATCTAGGTGGTACATATTGCAGGAGTTAATTATTCTAGTCTTTCTATTTCTCAGACCTCCAAACCTGTGGTTAAGTGGTAGGTTTGGTTTGATCTTTCAGAAGCAGTAGCTGATGATGTGTTTTGTCTTGGCTGCTGGGAAGCTCATTTTGCATCTTCCTCCACCAACAGCATCTCTTAGGGGTATGAACACCGACTGAAGTTATGTCACTTTCCCTTCCCTGGACTCGCTATTTTTGTTTAATCTTGTCGTACTCTGAGTGACTGCAGGTTACTGCAATTCCCTTTCTGGAAGGAGACAGGGAGTTTACTGACGAGGCTTTCTTTTCTTCCCTTCGGGCAGCTCGTCCACAGTGATCTGGACTCTCTGAAGAGGGAAATGGAAGAGGTCTGGAAAGTGGTCCGGAAGCTGCTGATTGAGGGCTTCCGATTCGACCCAGACAGCGCAGCGGGCTTCAGGAAGTGAGAGCCGGGGCCTCCAGGGACCCTCTTGGGAGGGGGATGCAGGAGGGGAAGGATTCCAGACCTGGGGACCAGGGGCGCGGGGGTGGAGCTGGGCCGCAGCTGAGAGCGCTGAGGGGCAGTGGGCAGCTCTAGCTTCACTCGCAGAGGGCTCCAGCCCTTTTGTCGCCAATGAGGAAACTGAGGCTCAGAGAGGGCAGGGGCGGAGCAGAGCCACATAGGAGACCCGGGCGGATCTCGGGCCCCAGCCAGGGGCCCAGAACCCACCCAGACAGCGTCCAGACTCAATGTTTGGGGGCCTCCCGCCCTGCCGCCCCCTTAGGGCCGCCGTGCAGGGCAGTTCTCCCGAGGCCTGCGGTTGTAAAGACCACCCATGTGTTTGGGGGCAGAGAAACCACGCGTGCGGGCGGGGCGCGGAGTGTGCGGGCGGAACAGGGCCGACCACGGGCCGGACACGGCCTGGGGCGGAGGGCAGGCGAGGGGCGGCTGCTGACCGCCGCGTCTCTTCCAGGAAGCTGTTTGAGCGCATGAAGTGCATCTCCTGCAACCGGCCGGTGGAGATGATGACCAGCCCGTGAGTACCGCCGCCAGGGGGCGCTGCCGCCGGCTCCTGGATCCGCCCACCAGCGCCCCAGCTCCCCCCCCCCGCCCCCTGCGGGCCTCTGTGGACGTCGTGTGCAAACACATCCATGTGCACCGTTCCCTAGATGCCCAATATATACACAGCCATGTGCACTGCTCCAGAAATGTCAAGTATATACATATCCATGTGCACCTTTCTGTAGACGTCAAGTGTATACACACACATCCATGTACACTGCTCTATGGATGCCAAGTATATACAAATCCACGTGCACCGTTCCCTAGATAGCAAATAGTTACACATCCGTGTGCACCGTTCTGTAGATGTCAAGTATATACACATCTATGTGTGCTGGTCTGTATGCACCATGTGTGTACACAACCATGTACACCATTCTGTAGCCATCATACTCACTGTTCTCTGCCCCTCAAGTGTCTACACACCCAAGTACATCACATGCTGTTTGCTCCCCTCCCACCTATGAGCAGTGGGGGTGGCCTGGGGATTGTCCTGCTTCTCTTTTCTTCATCAGCCCTGTCTTGAGCTATGTACCAGGGACTGGATCAACTCCTAGAAAAGAAAAAAAAAGTGGAAGTGATCACTGGGGGAAAGTAGAACTTTGTTGCAGTTCCTTATTTTGTGAGCACTTCAGTGGTATTGAGTCCATTCACAGTGTTGTGCAATTTTGTCTCTCATTCCCAAACCCTATTTTGTCCCTCAGAAGGAAACCTTAGATTCCTTAGCAGTCACTTCCCATTGCCACTTCCCCTGGGTCCCTGGCCACCACTCATCTCCTTTCTCTCTGTGTGGATTTGCCTGTCCTGGACATTCCATGTAAGTAGACCCATGCAATGCGCAGCCTTTGGTGTCTGGCTTCCATCACCCAGCACACTGTTTTCAAGGTTCATATTGTAGCAGGTGTCAGTGCCTCCTTCCTTTGTATGGCTGAGTAATACTCCACTGGATGGACAGACCACACGCTGTTTAAGTTGGTGGACCGTGGGCTGTTTCTACCTTTTAACTGTGAATTGTGCTGCTGTGAACATGTGTGTACGTGTATTTGTTAGCCTGTTTTCAGTTGTTTTGGGTATAAACCTAGGAGTGGAAGTGCTGGGTCACGTGGTAACTCTACGGTTAACTTTTTGAAGCAACTACCAGACAAGAATCTGGGCACCAGGACCTTGCGGGACCTCTGAGGTGCTCGTAGGTGACCTAGGAAGCTTGTCACTACCCCTCACCAAGTCATGTTCATAGATGGGCTTTGGAACCGCAGCCAGAATTTTTCTTTCAAACCACAGATATTTAGTTACAGCATTCTTTTTCTTTTTTCTTTTCTTTTCTTTCTTTCTTTCTTTCTTTTTTTTTTTTTTTAGTCAGAGCCTCACTGTTGCCTAGGTTGTCGTGCAGTGGCACTATCACAGCTCACCGCAGCCTCCTTCTCCTGGGTTCAGGCAATTCTGCCTCAGCCTCTGGAGTAGCTGGGACTGCAGACATGCAACCCTACACCCAGCTAATTTTTCAATTTTTTTTTTTGTAGAGACAAGGTCTTGCTGTGTTGCCTAGGCTGGTCTCAAATTCTTGGCCTCAAGCAATCCTCCTGCCTTGGCCACCCAAAGAGCTGGGATTACAGACATGAGCCACCGCGCCCAACCCAACATTCTTTATAAAAGTAAAAAAATGAAAACACCTGAAGTGGTAAATGAGTTACCGTACATTCATATCAGCCAATGTGAACCACGTTGTAGAAAAGCACACTGTCCGGTAGAACATTCTGCACTGTGGAAATGGACTGTGGGTCCAGTGCACGATCCACTGAAATATGCCTTATTTTAAATTTTATTTACATTTACTTTAAATGTAAATTAATTAATTGATTGATTTTTGTGAGTCAGAATCTCACTTTGTCCCCCAGGCTGGAGTACAGTGGCACGCTCACGGCCACCCCAGCATCGATCTACTGGGTTCTGGCTATCCTTCCATTTCAGCCTTCCAAGTAGCCGGAACTACAGGCATGTGCCACCACGCCTGGCTAACTTTTTGATTTATTGTAGAGACGAGGTCTTGCCAAGATACCTGGGCTAGTCTTGAACCCTGGGCTCAGGCAATCCACTCGCCTGAGCCTCCCAAAGTGCTAGGATGACAGGCTGAGCCTCCGAGCCTGGCCAAAATGTAAATTTAAATAGCCGCTGTGGCTAGTGGCAAGTGTATTGGATATTGCAGCTGTGGAAGAATACTCATTGACCTGGAAAAATATCTGCAAAAAATTAACTGAGAATATCAGGTAGGATGTATGTTATAATCTATTTTTGTTAAAACATTACATAAACATGGAGAAATACTAGAAGTCTTTGTCACATGGTTACAGCATTTTGTTTTCTGTGTTTTTCTATGCTTTCTAAAATGTTGACAATCAATATGTATTGCCGAAAACTTGTATTGTGACTTAACATACTGCAGCAAAGTACATCCATTCTACTGAACAATTTGCTGAGTTTTCGCTGTGTGCACACCTGCACAGTCGCCGCTCAGATCAAGGTAGAAAGGGTCCCAAGCCGGGCTCGGTGGCTCAGCCTGTAATCCCG